CCATCCTTCCTCGGGTTGCTGCTGGTAGGACACAAAGGCCTGGCCCTGTGTCCATCATGCCAAACAAGTCCAATAGTCCAGACCCCAACCTGAAAGTCAGTGGCAGGTGATGACAATGATGGGTCTAATGACGAGCATTTGCTCACTGCCGCATGGTGGCCTAGCTAAGTATGGGATTTAGTGGAGCCATGAATATTCATGCTAACACCCAGCCTCCCAAGTCCCTCTTTAACTCGCCCATGCTCACAATGTTGGGCTGCCTTTGTCCTATAGGCTAACACACCCAGGCCTTTTAGCTCCTTCCCAAGTTTGTCAGCTATTGATCAAGCAGGTTTATGGCCAATGATTGCATCCTTCAACACCCAAGCCTATGGCCAGTCCCGTATTGCTGTGGTGGCCAAGCATCGTAATGTACCAGCCCCCATCTACTGTCAGGGATTCCCTGTTCCCAAAAATCGAGAGTAACTTTAGAGCCTTTTTCTCTCTGCTGAGGTCACAGGCCCATCTCTCATGCTAATCTGCGCAAACCAGAATATAGGCCTGCGAATCCCAGAAACCTGGCTCTTCTCTGACCGTGTCCCCTTCTGCTGCTCATGGGAAAGATCCAAGTGATAAAACCACGGTGTTTCCTGAAGTGGCCAATGGTCCCCTTGCACATACATGGTGTCACGGAGAGCACAGGTCGGAGCAGTTTCTTCCAGGCTGTTGCAGAATTGAGGCCAGGCAATGGCTGGTTAATAAGCAGTGCAACTCCTGTGGTTGAGTGTGACACATGGGAAAGGATAGCCAGGTGCGGAGGAATGAGAACTGCACCTACGGGCCTCATTCTTTTCTCCTGCCGTAGTGAACAGCACGGTTTCCGTGCAGGGTGGCGGGAGGCTCGCACGCCGAGAAAGGAAAGACGATACTCAGCATTCTGGGGGAGTAAGAGGGAAAGGAAAAGGGGGGGGGGGGGGGGGGGGGAGTTGAAGACAAGAAGAAATACGTGAGGCATAATGACGGTCTCACTCCATCCAAGATATTGGAGACAGAGCAGGAAAGTATCTGCCCCCAGCCCTGGTCTACACTAGGGCTTCATTTTGAAATACCCCCCCTTAGGTTTAATTAATCCACACGACTGTCTGGCTATTTTGAAACCTGTACTCCTGCTTTCCCTGGGGAATAACACTTATTTCAAAACAGCTATTTTCAAATAGCAACAGTGTGGATGCTCCGGTGCTGCTATTTTGAAATAACAACTCTCTAGTGTAATTCGAACGAACTGCTCCCCTTGTTCCCTGGGGCTCTAAGTCGAGGTAGCCCATCCACATGAATGGAGCCTGCCTCGGACTGATTTCGAGGCTCCCCTGTAGTGGGGACACGCTATTTCAAGTTTGCTATTTCAGGAGTTATTTGGTTATTTCAAAATCGTTTCCTAGTGTAGACATGCCACTAGTGTGAAAAGTGGGTGGTGGCGGATCACCTAGAATCACAGTTCATCCGTCGGCACGTCAACATCACATGACAGCGGCCTAGCCCCGTTCTACAACACAATGCAATGGCTCAGGATCCCCGACCACGCTGTGCTTACATCCATGCAACCGACCCTCTGCGATCCCAAGAACCGCTGACTGAAATCCTGCTGCCCTACTCCCGGCCCGGTGGCAGAGGCAGCCACAAATTTTGCATCACTCTGGAGGGCCTGACCTCATCTCCAGTTGTTACTAGGGGTGGATCTGGCTGCCTGGCAACATGACAGCGGAGTCTCCTTGGGAGAATTCCCATGTGGTCACCAATACATATAGAGGTGACTGCACGGGGAATCCTGCTGCACAAGTGACCCTTTATGTTGTGTGTGTGGGGGGGTGGTATTAGGTGGAAGTCTGGGCAAGGGCATTGAAAACCGAAGAGGAAGAAGACGACACCTCTCTTGTGCTGTCTGGCTCTTCTCCCTTACGCCAGTATCTCCACTGACTTCAGTGCCGTTATTTCCAATAAACTCTGGGGTAAGTGAGAAGGGACGCGTCTCCTCGTTCCCTCTTTGAAAGGGTTAAATCTTGATTTCCTATTAACTCACCTGCTGAGTGCACTCTGGAGAGTTCCCATGGCTTTCCATTTCATCGATGGTTCGCTGGAGAATGGCTAAGAAATGAGAAGCAGAGAAAAGTAAAATAATGGGAGGGAGAGATGGACGGGATATGGCCGGAAGGGAAAGGTGAAAGCCGTCTGGGTTTCCATTCAATATGGGTTAATCCAAGGTTGTTAAACACTTGGAATGAATCTCAAATTTATATGAGATCTCTCCTCTTCTAAGTATTGCCTGTTCTCTAGCTACCAGGCCAGCCAAATTGTTGGTGCAATCTTCTATCCTGGAGGCCACCTGCTTGCCTCTTCATTAGTAGCTGCTCAGGTGCAATTGGTGACATTATGGGTGGCAAAACCCCCAAATTGGCTAAGAACTTAAAACCAGAATGACAGACAAAGAATCCCAGGAAAACCTGAGCCCGCTCATAGTCTAATTAGAAAGAGCTCCTGGCCATTGTTGTTTCCATCACTTCACACAAACACAAGAAAAAATAGTGGTGTGTGTGTGTGTGTGTGTGTGTGTGTGTGTGTGTGTGCGCGCGTGTGTGTGTGCGCGCGCTGGTGGTTGTGCAGATTTAAAAGCTGACACTTACTGCACATGGATGTTTTTCTCGGAGTACAACTTAACTTCCAACCTAACTGCAATGTTTTGCCACTGAATGTTTCCCTCTATGGGGAGCTATTAGCTGAATAATCCCCATTAAAACAGTTTCAACCTTTTCTTAAAATCAAAACTCAACCCCTTCATTCCGGTATAAGTCAAAATTCCACACTGGGTTAATTTCCTTCTGGGTGGCACCTCTTACTTTGAAAGTGTGAAAACAGTGAATTTTATCAGCAAAAATGTAATGGGCATTACAACCAGTTTTGTTCTTAATTAGTGAATATACCTATGGGTTTCTGGGGCTGTTTCAAGTTTGAGTCAATTGGAGAACCCAAGTGCAACTCTAACAAAAGTGCCAAATTCCCATCCCTTCTTTTCTAAATGTTTTAGAAAGGTGTGACTGCCTGTCTATCCATTCATCAGTGAGACTGTCTGCTCAAGAACGCCTTCTAAACGGTAAGAGCTGGGACCACCACACTTGGCAGGCAGCTTCTCATATCTTAACTTAGAGCCAGGGCAGAGCTGAGCTGTGCCCGGACAATGGGGTGCCTGGAGTGGAACTGGTATCCATAACTCGGAAAGGGAGGGTCTGAGAGCTGGACAGTTTTGCTCTACAATGACCACAGAGGGGCAACGAGCGCAGGAACAGCTGTATTGCAGAGTGACCACTGGGGGGTGGCTACCCCCGTAACAGAGAGGCCAAGGCTGTCCATGTTGCAGGCCACCAGCCTGGGTAAGTGCCGCACCCCACAAAGCCTCAGCCCAACTCCTCCCACTGGCCGTCGACTCCAGTGCTGGCCCCCACTCCCGGGAAGCAGGAGTCAGGGCAGGGGGCTGGGAGTTGCAGGGGGGGGGGGGCTGTGGCAGTGAGGGTGGCGTTGCTCCAGTGGCAACTCCTCCCAGGGGCCAGGGCTGTCGTGTCCTCCCAGAAGGAGTCGTTGGCCGAGACTGGGCAGTGTACGACAGACCCCCCAGGAGGAGTCATCCTCTTTGCCACCAGAGGCAGCCCTGGTAAGCCCCCAACCTCCCAACCCTCTGCCCTAAGACTCCCCCTTCTGCATCCCCCCAAAAGAGTTAAGGACCCAAGCAATGCCAAGTACATCGGCTAGCACTGAATAGTGACCTCGGGTGATTGGATCCAGCCACTGAATACCTGGCACTGTAAGTCCCATACAGCTGAGATGTGACTGGTCACTGCTCCGAGATGTGGGTCTCTCAACATGCCCCCAGTTTCCCAAGCTGTGAGACACAAGTATGGATGGACCGTGATGGAGTTCTCAGAGGGGGAGTCGTGTTAGTCTGTAACTAAAAAACAGCAATGGTCCTATAGCACCCCTGGCTATGTCTACACTAGCTCATTAATTCGAGCTAGGTAGGCAAATGAGGCGACCGGAGTTGCAAATGAAGCCCGGGACTTAAATATCCCAGGCTTTACTTGCATGTTCCCGTCCGGTCACCATTTTGAAATGTCAGTAACTCACTGACGGGTGTAGCCGTGCGGCAGTGAAACGTTAATTCGAACTAAGTCCTTAGTTTGAATTAACTGTTACTCCTCATTCCACGAGTTCGGGCTAGTGACACATTTCAGAGTTTGTTTTATTTCCCTAGATGAAATCCCTGGCAAACAAACGCCAAGGAAACCAGACGACCATCACTGAATTCATCCTCCTGGGATTCGGGGACTTCCCTGAACTACAGACCTTTCTCTTCCTGATGTTTCTAGTCATCTATGTGACAACCGTGGCTGGGAACCTCCTCATCATAACGCTCGTGGTGATTAATAAGAACCTTTCCAGCCCTATGTACTTCTTTCTGGGGAACATGTCCTGCTTGGAGACCTGCTACACCTCCACGCTCCTGCCCCGGCTTCTGGCTGGGCTCCTGACGAGGGACAGATCCATTTCCGTCAGTGGCTGCATCACTCAGTTCTACATCTTTGGCTCTCTGCTAGCGACGGAATGCCTTCTCCTGTCCGTCATGTCCTACGACCGCTATCTAGCCATTTGCAAGCCGCTGCACTACGCCTCCCGCATGAACGGCAGGTCCTGCCTCCAGCTGGCTGCCTGCTCTTGGGTGAGTGGCTTTCTGGCTCCTTTGCCCTCCATGCTACTGATGTCGCAGTTCACTTTCTGTGGCCCCAACGAACTGGACCATTTCTTTTGTGATTTGAACCCAATAATAAAACTGTCCTGCAGCGACACCCGCCAGCTAGAGGTAACCGCATTTGTGCTTTGCTCCATCTTCACCCTGCCCCCGTTTCTCCTGACCCTGGCATCCTACGCCTGCATCATCGCCACCATCCTGCGCATCCCGTCCACCACCGGGCGGCAAAAGGCCTTTTCCACCTGCTCCTCCCACCTCATTGTGGTGAGTGTTTTCTACGGGACCCTGGTCCTTGTGTATCTCCTCTCGGACTCTGATGCCCTGAGAGACCTGAACAAAATATTCTCCGTTTTCTATGGAGTCCTCACCCCATTGATCAACCCTCTCATCTACAGCCTGAGGAACAAGGAGGTGAAGGAAGCCCTGTGGAAAACCCTCCTTCAATTTTTTTATCTTTTACAGATCAGATATTTCTAGCTCATACGGAGAAGATGGGCCAAGCACAACAATATGAACCTGAGAACTCAAATACTATGAGTAGACAAGACTTTTCTGTATGGGTATGTCTACACTACAAAGTTAATTCGAACTAACAGACGTTAGTTCGAATTAACTTCAATAGGCACTACACATTCAAACTGCTAGTTCGAACTTAATTCAAACTAGTGAAGTGCTTAATTGGAACTAGGTAAACCTCATTCCACAAGGACTAATGCCTAGTTCAAATTAAGTAGTTCGAATTAAGGGCTGTGTAGCCACTTAATTCCAACTAGTGGGAGGCTAGCCCTCCCCAGCTTGCCCTGGTGGCCACTCTGAGCACCACCAGGGAAACTTGTCTGCCCCCCTCCCGGCCCTGGAGGCCTTAAAGGGGCACGGTCTGGCTACGGTGCCCGTGCCAGGTGCAAGCCTGCCAGCACCCAGCCAGCAGACCCTGCACTTGACATGGCATGAGCCAGCCACCCGCCCGCTGCCCAGCCCTCCGCCTCTTCCCGGGACCAGGCTGGGGGCTCCCACGAGCCTGCCCGGGGCTTCAAGTAGACCAGGCAGGTGCCTGCCTGTGCGGAGATGGTGGACCTCATCCAGGTTTGGGGGGAGGTCTCCAACGTCCACGACCTCAGGAAAGTGGCTGTCTAGGGCAGGATAGCTTCCATCCTGGCCACCAAAGGCCACATGCAAACCCAGGAGCAGGTTTGCATGAAATTCAAGGTGTCCTAGTGAGACCCCCAACCCTGAGCCCTGAGCTTAGAACATAAGAATAGACATACTGGGTCAGACCAAAGGTCCATTTATCCCAGTAGACTGTCTGCCGACAGTGGCCAACACCAGCTACCCCGGAGGAGATGGACCGAAGACAATGAGCATGACATTTGTCTTGTGCCATTCATCTCCAGCCTTCCACAAACAGAGGCCAGGGACACCGTTCCTACCCCCTTGCTAATAGCACTCCATGGACCCAACCTCCATGACTTTATCTAACTTCTCTTTAAACTCTGTTATAGTTCTAGCCTTCACAGCCTCCTGTGGCAAGGAGTTCCACAGGTTGACTATGTGCTGTGTGAAGAAGAACTTTTGCTTATTAGTTTTAAACCTG